AAAGAAGTGGCACTGAAGCAGGGCTCGGTGGCTCAGCCTATAATCCCGCGCCTTTGGGAGGCTGAGCTGAGTGGATTTCCTGAGCCCACGGGTTCGAGACTTGCCTGGGCAGCGAGACCGCATCTCTACAATAAATCAAAAATTAGCTGGGCGTGGTAGTGCGCGCCTGTCGTTCCAGCTACTTGGAAGGCTGAGGCGGAAGGATCGCCGGAGCCCAGCAGGTCGAGGCTGCGGTGTCCGGGAGCGACCACTGCACTCCAGTCTGGGCAACTGAGTGAGACTCCAACACAAAAAAATAAAAAATAAAAAAAATGACTGTACATATTCATGGGAAACATATTGAAGTATCAAAGCCCATAATGTATAATGAGTGGATCAGGGTCATGAGAACATCCATCATCTCAAACATCTATCCTTTCTTTGTGTTGGGAATATTCCACGTCCTCCTCCTAGCAATTTGAAACTATGTAATAGAATATTGTCAACTACAGTCATTCTACCATGCTACGGAACACTAGAACTTGTTTCCTATCTAGCTGTAGTTTTGTGACTTTAACAAATCTCTCCGTGTCCCTCCCTTTCCTCTACCCTTTCCAGCTTCTAGTATCCTCTGCCCTACTTTTCATTTTTATGAGAGCAACTCTTTTTTTAGCTTCCACGTATGAGTGAGAACATCAGTGTTTAACTTTCTGCTTCTGGCTCATTTCACTTAATGTAATAGCTCCAGGTTTCATCTATGTTGCTGTGAACAGCAGGATTTTATTCTTTTTAATGGCTGAATACTTTTCTATGGTGTATATGCACCACATTTTTTTAATCCATTTGTCTGTTGCTGGAATCTATGTTGATTCCATACGTCGGCTATTGTGAATAGTGCAGCAAAAAGCTTGAGGTGCGGATGTCTCTTCGATACACTGATTTATTTTTCCTTTGAACAAATGCCAGCTGGAATTGCTGGATCGTATGGCGGTTCTATTTGTAGTTTCTTGAGGAAGCTCCGCACTGTTCTCAATAGTGGCTATTCTAGTTTCTTTTTTCTTTTCTTTTTTTTTTTTTTTGAGTTGAAGTCTCTCTCCATTGCCCAGGCTGGAGTGCAGTGGCACACTCACTGCCACCCCAGCATCGACCTGCTGGGCTCAAGCCATCCTTCTGCCTAAGCCTTTCAAGTAGCTGGAACTACAGACACGCACTACCATGCCCGGCTAGTTTTTTGATTTATTGTGGAAATGAGGTCTCACCACTTTGCCCAGGCTGTTCTAAAGCCCATTGGCTCAGGCAATCCCCTCACCTCGGCCTCCCAAAGTGCTGGGATTGCAGGCTTGAGCCACAGTGCCAACAGTGTATAAAAGTTCCCTTTCTCCACATCCTCATTAGCATTTGTTACTTTTTGTCTTTTTAATAATCATCCTAACTGGGGTTAATATGATACTTCATTGTGGTTTCAATTTGCATTTTCCTAATGATTGGTGATGTGGAGTATTTTTTAATATATTTGATGGCCATTTGGATGTCTCCTTTTAAGAAATGTCTGTCCAGATCATTTGCCCATTCTTTAATTGAATTGTTTGTTATTTGTTGTTGTTGAGATGTTTGGGTTCCTTGTATATTCTGGATATCACTCCCCTGTGATGAGGCAGCTATTTTCTCCCATTCTGTAGGTTCTTTCCACTCTGTTGATTTTCTTTTCTGTGCAGAAGCTTTTTAGTTTGATATAATTTTATTCACTTATTTTTACTTCTGTTACCTGTGCTTCTGAGGCTTTATTTATAAAATCTTTTCCCAGACCAAGATCCTGAAACATTTACCCCATGTTTTCTTCTAGTTATTTTATTATTTGGGGTCTTACATTTAGGGCTTCAATTCATTTTGAGGTTTTTTTTTGTTTGTTTGTTTGTTTGTTTTTTTATGATGTGGGAGTTTGCATTTAGAGATCCAGGTTTCCCAATGCCATCTACTGAAGAAACTGTCCTATCTAGTGAGTGTCTGATCTGAAGGTTTCTTCAGCTGCCAAGTTAAAAGTCCAGTTGCACTGAGGCTGTCATTCTGTGAGGAAGTTTCAGCTAGCCATTTGGAGAGGTCCCTGGAAAGAAAGGTCCAGCTTGCCCCCGTTTTCCCAGGCATCCCCGCCCAGGCACCAGACATGTTAGTGGCACCTTCTTCAGCACCTAGATGTCATTTATTTTCCTCACCACGTTTTTAGTTACTATTTTGATGGCTCCAGTATTGACGTTGGTGATGCAATACACACATTCTTTCATAAGGTCATGGGTTAAGGATAGGACCTTGTCCATCCTTTAATGACATTCTCCACTTTGCTCTAAATAGACAGAAACCAATTTCTCACTAAAATTACCCTATCTCTAAAATCACAGACCCTGCCAATTTTCCCTCACAACACAATTCCTGCTCTTTTATTTTCCCTCCATAATGACCCTGTCTCCTTGACTTCTGTCTTTATGTCTGTCAGCACGACTCTGGCTTCCTTTGACTTGACTCGACCTAGACTCCACAGCCACTCATGTCATCGTCATCTTTGATGATAAACAATCACAAACCTACACACTTACAAACATGAATGAGCCCTCCACACTGCTGTCCCAGTCCTGGTCCTGGCTTTCCCATTCTTACCAAGTCCATCAGTTTCACTTCCAAATAATGCCATCCAACTGAACTTGAACTTCAGTGCTTTGTATTTCCTCTGCTTTGAACTCCAGCACCTTTGTGTTTCCTCTTCTTTGCATCCTTGCACTTTCACACCCAGTCACCCTCGCCTCCGTAGGGTCTTATATTCTTCTTTTTTTTATAATCAATATTTTTTATTGTGATATTGTGGGGTACAGTTAAGGGTTAGGT